AGTCTGATTTTATAAATGTATGTATGCATGTATGTGTGTGTGTACGTGTGTGTGTATATGTGTGTATATGTGTGTATATGCGTGTGTGTGTGTGTATGTGTGTGTGTACGTTTTGAGAGGCGTGAAAATCGATCGCAATGATTTAGAAATAAGTTTATCAGCTCTGCTAAATGCAATAAATCACCGTTCACCAGTATGGTTTTGGTTAATTAAATATTGTGTGTATTTTTTTGTGTCGTTAAAATGTGTATGTATGTGTGTGTGCGTGCGTGTGTGTGTGTGTGTGTAAGAGAGAGGGAGAGAGAAAGAGAGAAAGAGAGAGAGAAAGAGACAGAAAGAAAAAACAAAATAATAATTAATGGTTAATCGTTCACAATTTCTTTTTGTCAACAGAAATTATGAAAGAAAATACTGAACGAAAATTGCAAGCAGGAAAAATGAAATATACGAACTAAGGAGAGAAAGAGAAGGAAAGAAAGAGAGAAAGAGAGAGAAAACCAAAAAATATCTTCTAGCATTAAGACTGCTTGACATTTCATTATTATACAATTGGATATTCAGAAAGACGACATCATCATCCTTAAGACACATTCGTTGGTACCATGCAGTGATTTTAGGCTGGCTGGCTGGTTGGTTGGTTGATGTAAGTTTAAATGTTTATTCATTTATTTGTATGTATGTTCTCTCTATCATTTTCTAATTTCTCTCTCTCTCTCTCTTTCTCTCTCTCTCTTATTTTCATCTGTCTTTCTTTCTCTCTCTCTCGCCATTCCTGTTGTTTTTTAAAATGTAATAAATATTTCATGAATTTTTGTTGCTTATGTTGCAGTTGCTCACTCACTCACTCACTCACTCACTCACTCACTCACTCACTCACTCACTCACTCACTCACTCACTCACTCACTCACTCACTCACTCACTCACTCACTCACTCACTCACCCACTCACTCACTCACTCGCTCGCTCGCTCGCTCACTCACTCACTCACTCACTCACTCACTCACTCACTCACTCACTCACTCACTCACTCATTCACTCACTCACTCACTCATTCACTCACTCACTCATTCATTCATTCATTTTTTTTATCTATTTTTGTCCTTTCATTCAATCATTCATTCATTTTCTGTTCATTCATTCATTTATCTTTGATTCGCCGGGGGAATTGAAATAGATTTTTAAAAATTTGCAAAAGCTTTCGCCAGAGTAAATCTATTGGCTGTGAAGATTGAACGAGTGAATGAGTGAATAGATGAATGAATGAATGAACGAATAAATGAACGATTGAATGATTAAATGAATGAATTAATGAACGAATGAATGAATGAATGAAATAAAAGAGTGAATGAACGGATGAGAAAAATGAATGAAAAATGATAAAATGGTAAAGATAGAGTCAACCCGAAGCAAAATGAAACACATTTTTTTTTATTGAACAGGAAAAATACAACAAAAACAATAAATAAATCCAGTTGTAAGCGTAAGAAAGTTCTAGAAAAAGAAAAAAAATCTTTTGTTTTCAATCTTCTTTCAAATGTTAACAGTGAAGCTATAAACTCAAAAATCAAAATGGAAAAATGGAGAAACTGGAAGAAGATAGGTTACGGAAAAACAAGAAAAAAAGGTAATTGTTATTATTATTATTATTATTATTTTTACTATTATGAATCTAATGCTTCATGGACAAACACGAATAAAGAAAAACAAAAATAAAAGCCAAAAGAATTCATTATTAAGACATACGTCTTAACGAAACTTTTACTGAAAAAATAGGTACGAATAAAATATGTTAATGAGCTTGGCCGTAACTGCAAGATTCTTTTAAAATATTAAAATTAAGTTCATTAATATTTATGTATCTCTTGCACTTGTGGTTATGGAATGCTTTGGATGTTGCCAAAAATTTATCATCTCTCAAAAAGATTAACTTGGATGATAAACGAAAAATGAGGAATGTATGAATGAATGAATGAATGAGTAAATGAATGAATGAATGGATGAATGAATGAATGAGTAAATGAATGAACAATGCATAGTTGAATGAATGATGAATAGATGAATGAATAAATAAATGAATGAACCAGCAAACAAATGAATGAATCGACAAACGAACGAACCAATGGATGAACAAGTGAATGAATGAAGGAAACAATGAATGAATGAGAAAATTTATCAACCAATCATCCAGCACGACTTTAAAAATAAATCAACTACAACATCATTAACTCCATCGCAGAGTAGCGATGTATCCGAATGAGGCCATCAATAATAATCATACTACTACTATATTATCATCGTAATTGTTCATAATACTATCATAACTAGCCATAATATTAACATAATTATTTCATAACATTAACATAATTCTTCATGATATTAACATAATTATTCATAATATTAACGTAATTATTCATAACATTAACATAATTATTCATTATATTAACATAATCATTCATAACATTAACATAATTATTCATAATATTAACATATTTGCTTATGTTTATTTCATTTACTAAAAGCATTAAATCATAGTAATGCAATCGGGTTCAATTAAGAAATACATAGTAATCAGACATAGAATAATGGTGATGAATCCTTCACCGAATAGTATTATTTAATTTATAATAATAATAATAATAATTATTATTATTATTAATTATATTTATTATGATAACAATTATAATTATTTCAACTACTAAACGTCAATTAATACAAGTATTAATAACCAAACACATATATATGAAAATAAATAAAAATTAAGTTCGTTAATTGAAAAAATTAAATTTCTCGAAATATTTATCATTCGGACGCCATAAGATCAAAAATCCACATCTTGCTATTTACTGTGACATCACTATGACGTCATTTCATAAGAAACGCCATCGTTACATCAGCAGCAACATCAACAGCAGCAACAACAACAACACTACACCCCATCAGCCAATCACAGCCGACCGATGATGACCTCCATCCGACACCCCACCAATTAGATGCGGGGCAGACGAGACAAGGGACTTTCAGGAGGAAAAAAGCAAAAAGTAAGAACAGGCATATCATCTTCTTCCTGCTTCCCAACTCCCGTGTAGGCCTTCAACTCCGGAACGTATCCCATCGTCATTGTCATGTCACCTCTGGCGCCTCTAATCTTAAAGTCGAAATCATTTTGGGATTCTTTTGGAGAACTTGGAAGATCAAACTCGATTCCCGTGAATGGGAATTTGAGGGTTATCCGTTTGTCTTCTACAGTACAGGAACCCTGAACCGGAAGTGTGGAGGAGGACATAGGCATCCGCATGTACATTGTGGCGAACCCCTCGTATCTCATGGAACACATTGTCTTGGTTTGTTGGTTAGTTGGTTGTTTGTCTGTTTGTCTGTCTGTCTGTCTGTCTGTCTGTCTGTCTGTCTGTCTGTCTGTCTGTTTGTCTGTCTGTTTGTTTGTTTGTCTGTTTGTTTGTTTGTCTGTTGGCTGGTTGTATGTTGGTTGATGTGTTGTTGTTAGCAGGAGGTGTCTTTAGGTTGTTGTTGATGATGACGTTGTTGTTGTTGTAGACGCCAAAGATGTTGTTGTTGTTGTTTAGAATATTCCAGAAATATGCTACGTTCGCTGTTGTATTGTTGGTGTTGACTCTAGCCCCTTCCTTTCCAACTATTGATTCATATAGAAGGTAGATATCTGTTGGAGGAGAATAAATTAATTTAAAAAAAATAAACTACTGCTTTTAATTTTAATATAAATAAACAAACAAATAGGACACTCACACACACACACACACGCGCGCGCGCGCGCACGCACACAAGAACAAACAAACTCAGAAACAACACACATCCATAAAAGTGAATATGCAGATAAATATGACAAAATACTAATACTACAATAATTATATTACCAATAATAACATAGAGATTACGCTTGTTGATAAACAAATAACTAATCACACATATAAAATACTCTCTCTCTCTCTTTCTCTCTCTCTTTCTCTCTCTCTCTCTCTACATCTTACCTTCCTCTCTTTCACTCGATTATTTTTTTCTCTACATATATAAACATACATACACGCACATACATATACACATACAAACACAAATACATACACACATATATACATACAAGCAAACATACATTTATACAAACATACATACAAACGAAAATAAACATCAGAAGATCATATAATTGAATAATTGTATGTGTATGATGCACCGCTGACGCTGGCCGTATGCGCTATATAAATCAATTATTATTATTATTGTTAATATTATTGTTATTGATTTTATTATTGTTATTGTTGTTTAAATATTTCTTTTATGTTCACTTTTGCAATATTTATATGTATGTAATACACATTCGTGTATGTATGTATGCATGTATGTCTGAGGGATTGTTTGTTTGTTTGTAATCATGTATATGTATGTATGTATGTATGTTTGTTTGTTTGTATTTTTGTATGTATGTTTGTATGCATGTATGTATGTACTTGGTTCAGAATACAGACAGATGCAAGTTAAACTGGATCAATAACTAAATGAATAATAGTAATGATGAAGACGACGACGATGATGATAATAATAGCATTAATCGATAATAATAACAACAATAATAACATCAACAGTGATAATAATAATAATAACATCTATTCACATAGTGGCTGGCGAGTTGTATCAATAAAGAAATGTTATATTAACAACTTTAGCAGTAGTAGTAGTA